AGGTCCTTCATCTGGAGACAGAAAGGTCAAAGAAGAGGAATTGACTGGATCAAACCAACTCATGAAGAGAGAACCTTTGATCTTCAGCAAATCAGTTCGGCACACCAACTACAGACCTTCCAGAGATCTGGATGTCATCAAATGGAAACAGGGCCAGAATCTGTAATAAAACAAGAATATAAAAATCTAAATAACCTAAACAACAGAAATTGTGTCCACTTTTAGTTTTCCACAAAATCCGTGGAATGTTCTATAACATTTAATCTAATGATGAATGCAAGGTCTTAGAAGTACAAACAAAAATCTTCCAATCACCTTAGTGTGGAAGGGTGCTAGAAAGATTCCTCAAATGGAAGATGTTTGGATCAGAGCATAAATTGAAGGCTTGTTGTAATCCCCAGATGTAAACGATAATGGGATCAGATATCTGATATATGACTGTTGCTCTGCTTATAGGTTTGTTTGGACGATGTCTGCAAACTATCACTAAATGCATTAAAAGAGATCACTTATGTTATTGATAAAAAAAGAAAAGCAATTTAAAATTTTGTTTTGAAAAGTGTTTAATGTTTAAAACCCTGAATTAGGTAACTTAACTGCAGAAAACAGCTTTTCCTGACCATGAGAATTAAAAACAGAGAGAATAACACGGCCCTGTAATTTTCAGTGTAAAAAAAATGACAAAAAACAAAGTAAAATGGTGATTTAAAAAACTACAGTAAGACTAAAAGATGGATAAGAATTCAGAGAAATTTCTTTACTTTTCCTCCAACATTAGTGGCAGTGCTAATAAAGTTTAATATTAGATAAATAAATATTTGCAGTTTTTTTTTTTAAAAACCTTTTGTTCTTTCATAGAAAATAAACCATCATAACTTTTCCTTATTACCATGATCTCTGATTTTTTCCATTTTTAAGGAGAAATTTTCCTCACATTTAAACCCCCCAAAAAAAGGAAGTCAGCTCGTAAATAACTATTTAAAAGGTGTGTATCAATTTAAAGAAATAAACTTTGATTTAGAATCACAGAGACATTTAAACAAAA